GAAAGAGGATACGAAGACTCGTTGTCAATGATTGGCAATGGTGTATTTGAGAGATTGATAAACCATATTTCTTAGGATAAGAGCTTTTTGGATGTTTTTTATGGGCAAGGAGTTTTTCCATCTCTGTACTTCTGGGTAGTGACTGATGGAGCAGGATCCTGGTTGATGACTGAGTGGAAGAATAGTGGCGATCAACAATTGTAATAAAAGCTAAAGAAAATATTGGAGTCTAGCGTACTTCAGACAAAAGTGACTGCTGGCAATGAGTATCTCTTTCAGAAGGTGAGGTTTTCCCTGGGTTAAGCACAGCAACAAGAATCCTGCACAGCACTGTTTGGAAATTACCTTTGAATAGATGAAGCCTTGCTTTTCCTATGTCAGGACTGCTAGCTTGGCACGGCTCCAGGAAAGCCAAGAGCTCTACTCTTGTAAAATGATTAAATATGTATACTTTTCACTTAAACAGCAGGCAGGAAGCTTCTGCAGTCACAGTTTAAGATAGTCTTTTTTTTTTTTTTTTCTCTCTTTTTAAGGAATCTCATCCGAAGACTATCCATTAACAAGTAAATTAAGGTTTTAAAGTTGACATATCCAAGAGTTAATTTTGCATGAAGTCAGCTCTTAAACATTTCCTTTATCAGGTGAAAACATTGCCCCTTCTCTGTCTGGCACTGCAAATTTTTCCTCTTTAGTGGATCTGCTCAGCCTCATGGAAAAAATGATCATTTCTTTGTCTATGTAACTCTTTATTTCTCTGTTAAAATAAATGGACTGGTTCCAGTGCGGTTCAGAGGTTCAACCTGGTGCCTACCAGGGCTCCCCTGCGTGTTGTCTTGTGCGGGTAGGTGGTGGAACAAAAAGGCTCCAGGTTCAAAGGCATAATGTTTTTCCACTTGGGATGAAAAAGAACATCTCCTTTAGTGGTCAGTCTTACAGGGATGAAGTGGTTGTGGCTAGCGTTTTGAAGGGTGAGGAGTGATTTTAGTCATTTCAAGGTCAGAGGGACCCAAAGAAGGCTGATTTCCAGGAGGTGCTCTGCATCTGCTGCTAGAGAATTGGTATGCAGCAGGCTTCTCCCACCGGGAAAGCAAAACTAGAGGTGCCACCCCTCCTGGATCACATTTTTGGTGTTGGCATCTGTGTCCCTTCAGTAGGGGGCAGCAGGACACACGCACGTTACCTTCTTCATCATGGTCAGATTTCCAGGTTTTTCTGCACATCACGGGCTTTCTTTTCCACCTTGCTGTGAAGATAACCACGTGCTGATCTCCAAATGCAGATATCACTCGCATCAGCGGGGCTGAAGGCGTGGGCTGACCCTGAGACATTTTTTCAGTTTCAGAATTTTGAGGCACGGGGGCAAGCAGAGAGCAAACCTGGGCTTTCCGCAGAAATCCTGGGGTAGCAGCTGTGCCCCAAGCCCACTGCTTTCCCACCCACACCCCCGCGCATGCAAAGCTCACCCGCTCAATGAAATCTCTTTGCTCTTCCCTCCCCTCCAGGCGAGCTCGTCAGTGATGTCTGGCCCAGGAGAGAGCACCAGTCCCGAAAGCAGCAACCTTAAGTATTCAGGTCAAGACGGGCTGTACACAGGAGTCAGCCTGACCTCCACGGCCGAAGTGACGGCGTCCGTGAGACAGGATCCCTGGTGTGCCCTGGCTCTGGCGTGACCCAGCACGAGGGAAGCTGGATCCCGGCGCTGTGCGGGAGCCCCCAGACGTCTGCGCACAGTTTCTTCTGCGGAGTGGTCGTGGTGGGAGCGAGAGTGCTGGCAAAGACCGTTCCTCTGAAATTGTTTCCGTGCCTTGGTGGCAGAGGTATTTTTCAGCCTCCGAAAGGGGCACTGCCGAAGCATCCAGTTCCTCATCTATGCAAGAAAATGATAAAGAAAGCAAATGCCCACCAGGGGATAGCTAACGCAGCCTTACACTCTCAAAAAACAAAAAAAAAACCAAAAAAAAAAAAAAGAGAAAAAAAAGAAAAAGGAAAAAAAGAAGAGATAAACCTAGACTTATTGGTAGATTCCAGAAATACATCCTCGACTTACCCAGCAGTGCTGCCTTTCTGATTGTATAGTTGTTTTCACCCTCTCATCGCCTTCTCCCCCAAGAATTTGGCGGAAGTCGTCAGTGTCGGGGGGGGAAAGGGGGAGTAGTAAAGGCTTTAATTACCAGACATAGTGAGATACTTTTTAACGAGCGTCAGAAGTGCATACTGCTTGAGTCAGCGCAGAAGTCTCGCACCGACCATTTGATGTCTTCACCCTGTCGGTCCTCTCCTCTTGCACCCTCCATCTTCAGCGTGCCTTGCTCTGCTCTTCAGAGTCCAGCTATGCCCCTGGAAGAAATCACAACATTTGGTACAAGTCTCACAAGGTCCAGCTGGTTATAGAGATTTTGGTTGGTTTTTTTTTGTTTTGTTTTGTTTTAAAATATTTACTCACTTTGCAAGACTGCGATATAACTTCTAAAGTACACTGTGACTGAGGTTTATGAAAGTTTGTATTTTCTGGCTGAACTGTAAAAAGTCAGTTGAAATTTGTAAACAGGGTAGCAATCAGATATTTTTCTTCCATATATACAATAATTTTTTTAAAGAAGTGCAATTTGCGTTGCAGCAATCAGTGTTAAATCATTTGCATAAGATTTAACAACGGTTTTTATACGAATGAATGAATGTAAACATTTTAACTTAATGGTACGTAAATAATTTAAAAGAAAAACTTAACTAGGCATCCTTAGGCTTTTTAGCGCAACAAAAACCCCATCCACTTTCTGTATTTCCAGTTGTTAAAGTAAGAGTTTCAAAGAACAAGCCTTCTCTCAGGAAAATTGCCCTAGCCATTTGCTCAGAAGTGTTGTACAAAAATGCAAATGCATCCCCAAGGTTTTTTTTGCCATTGAAAAAGTATGTGCTGGAAAGAAACAAATCACAATGAAACTTTACTACCTAACTGATACATATGTAAATACTCCATAAGATATTTAGGCATCTTGAAAATGTAGGATGCAATCTCTATAGTGTGACTGACACATAGGTAGGTTGGTTTCCATTGGTTTTTAAGTGGGATGTCATTTGGAAAGTTGTTTCATCAGAGCTTTACAAATAAAAGGGTATCATTTTGGGATATTTTTTGTTTCCTGTACACTGTGCCTTCTCCTTTGTCTCAAATGCAACTGTTCAGCTACATTAAAAGCTATGGAAATGTACCTGATATGGGCAGCATGTCTGGTGGCTGCAAGGAAGGTCTCCACTGAAATGCCTGCTCTGTCTAGCTAAGTTTGCATTGCATGTGGCTTTACTGCAGCTCCCCTTATTACACCTTCTGACGACGCGTAAAACTAGGGCCTCCAGCTGCCAACACAAGCTCCTCACAGGCGTGCGGGAGGTTTTTCTGATGGAAGTCCGGGGAGCTGGTCCTGTGCCTTGTGAGGGCTGTCATGGTTTTGCTTGGCCCTTACACTGCAGCTAAAGGGTCTCAACCAGGTCCCCTGTGTGTGCAAATACCTGCCTGTCACCCACTGCAGACATAACTGAGTAAGGCCAACTGGGTGGCAGAGCCATTGCGTGCCTGCTGGCATCCTCTGGTGGCCAAAGGTGAAGGGCAGCAAAAACTGAAGGCACTGCTGCTGAAAAGAGAAGCAGGTGAATTTTGGCTACTGAAGGGAGTGGAAGACCCTTCGCTGGCTCTGAGGACTGGTCCTCTGCATTGCTCGGCTGATTGGAGCAAGACTTACCTCCGGGTGTGATTTCCAGCTACGTCAGCAGTACTGTCGGACTGGGAAGCCGGGATGCCCAGCCTCTGTACCCAGCGACCTGTGGAGCGGCTGCCTCTCTGAGCCAGACTTTCATTTGGGGTGAATTGGGATAGCTCCTTGGCCTCCAGCGGAGCTATGCTGGTTTGCACCAGCTGAGAATCTGCACCTTGGTTTTCCAACCCCGACAGTCAAGGCCACATCCTTACCCCACGCGTGTTGTGAGGACCATGAGATGAACACATCAGCACAGCCTCCAGAGAAGAATGGCTTCTAGCAAAAAGGGGTCAGGCCAAACCTCACCTGGGGTTTGGGCTGCTCTGGTCAGCCAAGAGTGGGGACACCTCACTCTTCCTGGTGGGGCCGTCATGCCAGGCTTGGTGCTGGGCCACCTCACGTCCTTGCTCCCTGGGGGTTGATGTGGCTGGGTACCCCAGCCCTGCTAGCCTTGGGGCCATGTGAGCTTGGATCTCGTGATTTACCAAAGTAAATCCCTATCTAAGTGCAAAGTGAGCCATGCAAGGAAACACTGCTTTAAAAAGCAAAAGTTGTGGAGAAGAGGGTGAATATCTTTCCTTTTGAAGCATTTGCTGGTTAAAATGCCCTTTTCTGTGATTTTTTCCAGTGTTGGCACTTGAATGGATAAAAAACCTCTTGCTAACTGGTGTTGAAGAGAGTTCAGCCTCAGCTGGGGTCACCATCCTTTTTTTTCCCCTTTCTTCTTGCCAGGGGTGAAGTTTGGTGTGCCACTTCCAAAAAGCCTAGCGCCAAGTATGTCATAGCTGTGTTGCTCAGAGCTGTCATAAAACAGGAGTTTTAGACCAGCATGTCCCAGTTTTGGGCTGCTGACCCAGCAGAAAAAGGCAGCTGGTTGCTGACGCTCTTGCCGTCAGCCTGTGGAAGGCCACATTGCTTTGAAACTCAGCGGCACAATTTAAGAGGGCTCCCAGGAGGCCCTGCTCCCTTCTTAGCTCCACTGTAACCCAGGGTCTGGCTCAGGGTGGTTCCTGCAGATAATAAGCCTTGCAGGGGACATAAAAAGATGCCCTATGTGAAAAGACTTCTCTTGGATCTGGGGCTGAAAATGCTTTTCTAGGTGATATCAGGAAAAAAAAAAAAAAAAAAAAAAGAAAATCTCCAGAAAAAACAGTAGTTCGTAGGGAAGGTGTTTCCCATTATTTCTTATCAGCAAAAACATCAAGAATTAAATCCTTTGCCTCCTTGGGCCAGAAGCAGGGCTAAATCAAGTTTTCACCCCTCTGCAAGAGGCAGGGGGGTGAACAGTACCATGTTGCCTTACTGTATAGATGCTGAGGAGCTCAAAGCCAGGTTCTGTGTTATGATTTTACATAGAAAAAGACTGTAAGAACAGTACCTCCCTACTCACCAAAACTGGATTGCTGGAGCTGCCACTGCTAGACAAAATAAAGGTTTCCTTTTTATTTTTTTTTAATTTTATTTAATTTTAATTTTGCCTTTTAGTCCTGCTGAGACAGCATGGCCCCGAGTATGTGAGCTGGGCTTTGCTCTGGCTCATACATCATCAGTAGCACTGATACTGATGGACAGCCTGGCCAGATGCTTTCCTCACTTATCCCTGTTTCTTTTCAGTGACAGCTCCTGGGATGGGCTGAGAAAGAACAAAGAGTTTGACCATGGGTCTTGGTTACTAGTGGGGCTGAATGAGCCAGATTGACCCCAGAGTGTCTCTCTAGTATCAGAATGAAGCTTCAGAGTTGACATTTGAGAAAAATAAAAAGCATATAGCTACTTGTCACCTTAGAACTTTTTCTCTGGAAACAGCTGAAATTAAGTAGCTGATGTCTCAAGGCATCTGCTTCAGGGTCCCCCACCAAGCAATACTAGAAGGTTCACCCTCACCCATATTTGTATCTTTTCTGTTCAAAGTGCTTGGAATAAGTTGAGATCCCTACAGCAGTCCAGAGTGGTATTTTTCAGCATGGCATTGAGGGCACATACTAGTGTGGTACGAGTGCTGTGGAGGTACACGAGGGTGCAACAGCTGCTGGGCTTGGGTTGGTGACCTCGGTAAAGTGGAAAGAAAAAGCCTTGGACAGATTTCCCAAAGGGAGTCAGAGGCACCTGGCTGTTTCCAGGACTGTGGGTGGGCTTTGTTACACGTGGATGATCAGAGGGAAAGGACCTGGGTGGGAAGTGAGGAGCTGGTTTGTTTTGGTTTTCTTGCTGCAGAGCTAGACAGAGCCATGGGCCAGCCCTGCAACATTTGCCATATAGAACTTGGGTAATTTACTGTCTGTTTCTGCGTAAAAGTAATATCACTTCTGCGCCTTTCCAAGAGAAGAAGGGATTTAGGAGTAACACTCTCTCCTTGCTACCATGAGCCTTAGCTGAGCACAGGCTGCAAAGACTCAAAGTGGACTTCAGCTCTTCCTGTGTGCTCACAGCTCCAGATCTTCCTTATCCAGCTGTCCCGAATTTCATTCCTCGCAGATCCTCCAGTTCCTAAATCTGTATACACTGGACATTCCAGGGTTGTGTCAAACACATGGAATTCAGTACTAAAATCCAGGGCAGTGGTTATTGCCACGGGCCAGCGAGAAGGAAACTGAGGGCTTGAGGAGCAATTTCAAGTATCTTCTCCACATGTTGCAGGACGCTTGAGGTCTTCATGACATGTTTGTAACATGTTTTCAAATTACTTCTTAATCTTTCTTTAAAGGTATCTGATGAAATTTGGTATCATATATCAGAGAGGGGAGTAGGATTTAGGTGCCCGGGTGGACACACAGTCAACCAAAAGTTGTCAGAGCAATGCAGTAACCAAAAGTGCTAATGTACTCCTTGAACAAATAATCAAGAAAATACTGAGTAGGAGTAAGAAGGTAATTTTATTTTGGGATGCTGCGTCCAGACCTGGCAACTACATTTGAAAAGGATGTTGAAAAATTGGTAAGGGTAGGGAAAAGAACCACAGAAATTATTTAAGGACAGGAAAAAGTCTGGCCTTGACAATTTTAAAGACCATAGTCCACTTAGAGTATCCAAAGGAAGACTGAAAGGTGACTGGTGTAGTAAGTCCCTTCATGTGGAGAAAACGTGTTTTCTCCATGGTGCTAACAGGCCTTTGACCTTACAGAGACAGAAATAACAAGATCTAGTGGCCAGAATTAAAAAGGTAAATTAGTTTCGGCTGAAACAATTAA